GCTCTGGTCACGGTTTAGCTTGCCCTGGTTAGCCTACACTCTTGTCCTCTGGCATGGTGAAGACAGGCAGGCCAGTGGGGTGGGGGCAGGGGGCTGGAGTCATTTCGCTCCCATCCCACTGTAGCAGTTTTCAGAAGATGTGAGCTGTATCTCAGGGCTTGCAGCAGAGGGCATTTGCAGTAAAGCTCCCACCAGAGTGCGTCTCCATGACAGAGAACCGCACAAGGAAGAGGGCATGCCCTTGTGAGCTCTGCAGAACCTGTGCTTGGACTGGATGAAAGAGCTGGCATTTGCAACTCTAAGTGCATCATCCATGCAGGGAGGACTTCACAGCACTGGGGAAACAAAAGCCTCCAAACCATCCGCAAAAATAGTCTCTTCCTGGCTGGGTTACTTTTCCACTGTTCTAATAAATTTTACAGCTTCGCAAAGCAAACACTCACTACAGCAATCCTATAGGTCAGAGATACTGTGTCTTAAAAGATTAAAACCAAGACTTTAGCAGAGCTGAATGCATTTCTTCCCCTTTTTATCTTCCAGAGTCTTCTGAACAGCCCCCTCTACAGCTACTAACACAGGCAGTGGACAGCGCTCCTCTTGCTGCAAATCTCTCTGCTGTCGTAGCACCTCTCTCTGACCAGAGTTGGGGAAGATACTCCTCTTTTAAGGGCTAAGATGACTACACTGGACTGACATGGATATTAAAGGCTCATCTTTCTCTCTCAAGATCTTTACTTACATCTGTGAAGTTCCATTGCCATACAAGGAAATAGAGTCACAGGCTCTGAGAAAGGACAAGGACATCCTTGGGGTGGACGTCATTCTGCATATGACAGGGGCTTTGACCCTAAAGCCACCGGAAACAGGGGTGGGGGCACAGAGAGAAGCTAGAGTGCCCACCACTCCTCCTTCCCGAGTTATTCAGGCCAGCTCTGGGTTGCAGAAGGAAAAACAGCTTTGAAGTAGATACAGGATTCAAGTTTTAATTTAGATAGCAAAATTCTTCTTTTAATCCATGAAAGTGGGTTTAATTACAGAGAGAAACTATTTGTGTCCCAAAGCAACAAAAACACACGAATAGGGAAAAGTGATTCTTCTCTACTGATGCTTGTTCAATATGAGCCACACCATTACAGTTTTGGTTATGTTATACATGTGATTTACTTTTTATTTTATTTTCTTTCTTTCTTTTTTTTTTGTGGCCAGCTCAGCCCATCCTTGGGGTGGGGCTGGCACGGAGTGTGGTATGAACCACAGTCCTTGTGTGCTTGCCTAAGCTTACCTAAGAAGGCGCTTTAGATCACTGAGCTCTCTCGTTGGCCCCTTCATGTGATTTAGTTTCCTATTTTTCTACAAAGAAATTTCCCTTTTTTGAAAATTGTCTTAGAAAATAGAAATAAAAGCAAAGACTTAGTATGATGATGCTTACAGCAATTTGATTAGTTTTATCCTTCTTTCTTCTTATCCTAGTATGAATTCACATTTTATGATCTATTATTACAATGAACTTCTTTGCCAATAATCTAAAATGCCTTGCTTCTTTTTATTTATTAATATTCCGTGTTGTGGAGATACCAAATTATCTTCCATTTTTATACCTATACCAGGGAATCATATACTGAAGGAATTCATGCGATAGTGCAGAGGAATCTTTCTACAAACTTATGACCATCAATCTCAAAAGGGCACCCAACACTATTCACCAATCATGCTATAGCCTCTGTCCTACTACTAATCATACAACAACTGCGTATTTATACTACTGTTTCTCTGTCCTGCTCAGCATGACTTTTTCATATGTTTTCAACTCTCCTCAAACTCTGGTTAATCCTTCCAATTCACCATTTTCTGACCAGGAGCCATACACAATAGTGTCTCTTTTTTTCTCTGAATATTTAACTTCTCTAACTCCACTCATTTTCTCCATTTCTGCTTCTTTTTTTTTCTTTTTAGGAACATCCAAGTTTTTCCTGATTGTAGTTCTCCTGAATAATGCCCCACCCCCCAAAGATACTGATCCTAATCTCTGGAACCTGTGACTACGTCGCCTTACAGAGCAAAGGAATTTAGGATTTATGATTAAATTATGAATCTTAGCATGGCGAGATTATCCTCAATGGTACAGTTGGGCTTAATGTTGCCAACTCTAAATAACTCAGATTGATATTCTCTCTCTCTCTCTCTCTCTCTCTCTCTCTCTCTCTCTCTCTCTCTCTCCTTTCTCTCTTGCTCGCTCGCTCTCAGATTAGGTTTCACTATGAAGCCCAGGCTAGTCTCAATCTTGCCCTATCCTCCTGCTTCAGCCTCTGTGGTGCTGGGATGGCAGGTGTGTACACCACCACAATCAGGATATCTTTCTTTCTCACTAGACTTTCAAATCCTAATAAGGGTTGATGAATTTTTAGTTAAGTAATGCTTTCTTTTTTCTTTTTCCTTTCTTTTTTTGGTACCAGGGATTAGAACTCAGGACCTTGTGCTTGCCAGTCAGGCGCTTACACCATTAAGCTATTTTCCCAGCCCTAGTCAAGTAATCTTAATGGAAACAGTAATACAACAAACCCATGTAAGGAGAAGTTTTCATTGCAGAGATTTTTCATCTGAAATTTCTAGTGAAAAACTCAGGGCTAATCATTCTACAAATGAGGCATTAACATTTATAAGTAGAGTATGTGGAGAGCACTGTATTGTAATTATCAGAGTTTAGTAGATCTTCAATATCACATATATTTGCACTATGTTTAATATCCATCTGAAAAAAGACTGTAAATATTTCTGAAAACCTTACCTTTTCACCTGAGTTGTCTTTGGCTGTTGGGATTTGCCAAGTAATGTTAGCAGAATCTTGCTGTTCCTGAGCCTTAGCCTCTATGTCCTTAGGACAGTTGATTTGAGGCGGCTCCACATCTGTTCCAGAAAATACACAAAGCAATCAATCAATGCATCATAACACATTTATGATTACACTAAGACCTTGTGACTAACGTTTTACATCCCAATGACTGACTGATTTAAAATAAGGAACTGCCCTCCACGAGGTTACCTTAGCTTGCTTACGAGGCCCTTACTGCACTGGCACCATACAGCCTCATTCCTTACAGTTCCCTTACTAGAATGCACTTTACTGTAAGGCCCCCAAAGCGCCATGGCCTTTTTTTTTTTTTTTTTGAGGTTGGGAAAGTTTTATTAGAAATAGAGAGGAGAATAACAGCATTGAATGGGTTGCCTAGGGTCTTTTTTATTGGAGCCCTGGTATGTTCTCTTATTTGTCTCTATTAATGTCCTTATCTCCCTCTAACTGGATAACCACTGCTTGCTTTTTAATTTTAAGCTATCTCTGACTCAGCCCTCTGTAATTCCCAATGATAAAACTCGGCATGTATTTTGAAGTAGAGTTTTCTCCTCCAAGAAGAGGGAAGTTATTTTGAAGGTCAGGATGTATCTTATCCTACTGTTTTATTTAGTGCCTGGCATATAATTAGAGTTTGGTAAATATTTTTGAATGAATCAAATGAACAGCAAAAACTAAATGTTGACTGTAGCAAAAGAATTTCTTGCTTGAAAATGAGACTATCAAGAAGAATTAATTAGCACTCCTAGCTTGTACTGTGAAAACAAAAAACAAATTTAAGCCGGTGTGAAGCTTTATACTACAAATAACTGTACTAACATTATACACAGCCACATGAGCTAATGTAAAGGTCTTACTGCATCAACTAATATAGCCTTTAAGTTTGTGACACAAAGTATTGTGTAACTTGCAAGTAGACACATGTAAGTGGATTTCATTGTGTCTCATAACTTATTTCTTTAAAATTTTA